CACGAATACACATCAAATAGTTTTCTGGTAGCAATTTTCTAATTTCGACTATGTGTAATGTATGCTTTACGCATGCACGCGTTGAAAGAAATGTTTCATAAAGCAAACAAATAAATATTAAGCTTTTTATTTTGTAAATTTTGATACCCTTTAGATCATAATTGCTCTTTATTTTATAAATTATGGTTTCATATTTTTAATTTTATAATTTCTGCATGTTATCTTACCAGATTTAAATTGATAATCTGTAATCTGGAATCGCTGAAGTCCTGATGAGTCCAGATTAAAAACTTTTGACTGTATCTCTCTTTTTATTAAACTTACTTTACTCTTTCTTCCAGAATTCGAATTTTGGGCTTAATCCAAATATAATTTGCACATTTTCTAAGATTGATTTTTTAAATTTGTATTTTTAAATAATTTTTATAAATTTTTCAGAAGAAGTTTTGTATTATGACCTATAAAATGTTTAACATCATGTTAAAATAAATGTATTTCTAGGTACACTTGAAAAAAAACTTTTATTCAAAATTTTCTAAGATATACGTTAATTTACACAATGGCATGCTTTGAAATTTGGCACATTCATTTCAAGGTGTAATAACACCAAATGTAGTTTACACCCTTTGTTAAAATTAGTTGAAAGTATGAATGATGACTTTTTCCCTGCTCGTGTACAATGAAGAAAAAGGAAAAGAAAATAGGTTGCTATAAATTAAGATGTTCACCAAGTGAATTATTCATGGTCAAACTGAAAAAAAATGATGCAAGATAAATTTTTGAATTTCTCCATAAATTTTGCAAAATTTAATATTTAGGCATAATTTGAGTCATAGAATCAAAATATGGAAAAAATTTGGCATGTCATTTCAGAAAAAGTTCGATTTTTTGTCAAAATACCTACATTAAAACAATGCTATATATAAATCCAATATATATCATAAGTCATGCTTTGGAGACATGAAAAACGCAATTTGAATTTCATCAATTGGCCCATTAGAATGGTAGATAGATATAAAACTGTCTCCCCCTTGCAGTGTACATTGGCAGAGATAGCACACCTGAGGGCATCTCAAAGATTTTCGGTTGGACTAAGGCCAAAGGAGTACTGCAGACTGAGAAATGTTCTCGCTCTCCGTGTACCCATTACCGATGCTGGCTCAATGGGAATGGGCATTAACATCTATAAGGAGGAAATCAGGAACAACTTTTGCAGTAAGCATCAATATTATCAAAAATTGTCCTGTTAAAGACAAAGTTGCCAACTCTCCCGATTTAGGCGGGAGACTCCCGATTTTCGACCGCTCTCCCGCCAACTCGATGTACAATATATTTCTCCCGACTTTTTCTTATTCTTTATTTCTCATGATTTTTATGAAACTTGGCTTAATACTTCGTTATATAAACAAAAAAAAAAAAAAAAGTGATTTTGGATGTCTGAAAGCAACTGAATTTTCTCTAGATTATACCTAAAATAAAACCTTGCGAATCAGATGAGAATTTCTGCTTTGTGAGTGACAGCATATGTATCCAGAAACGTCATTCTCCAGTTCTCCAATGGGCCTCGAGCTCCACTGCATGTCATCTGACATATATTAGCTAATGAGCACAAAGCAAACTCAAGGCCGTTGGCCGTTATTTGGATTTTCTTTCGTTATTTCGTTCATATTGTCCTGAGTTGTGTGAGTACAAGTGCCTTCGGGAAATAGTTTTAGAAATTATCATCTTTTGTTATGTCTGCGAGAAAGGGGAAATACTCGTGCACATTTCAAAAATCGTACAAAGTTGACTTTCCTTCCATTATTTCCTCAAGGAAATGTAATAAATTTGCGATGTGTACCATCTGTCATTGCGATTTTTCGATTTCGCATGGTGGAAGGGCAGATGTTCTCAAACATGTGCATACACAAGGACAACATGAGTTGTTTTGAAAAAAACGAAAAATTAAATATTTCTTCGGAAACAAAAGACCAAAAAGTGATTAATGCAGAATGTCTGTTCTCTGCCTTTTTACTGGAGCACAACCTGTCACTGAATGCATCGGATCACGCTGCAGCTTTATTTAGAAAAATGTTTCCCGATAGTGAAATCGCTAAGAAATACTCAAGTGCAAGGACCAAAACAGGTGCAATTGTTAAAGAAATGGGTTTGAAAAATAAATCTTCAGTTATTGATTGCATTAAAACAGCTCCGTTCTGCCTCTCTACGGATGGAAGCAATAATACCAATTCAAAACTGTATCCAATTGTTGTTTCTTTTTTTAATCCAGAATCTTCAGAAATTGAGTGCAGTTTACTTTCTGTCCCCACTTTAGAAAGACATTCGACAGGCTTTAATATAGCACAGCTAATTATTAAAACTTTAAAATAAAATGCAGTCCCTCTGGATAATTGCTTAGCGCTTGGTGCCGATAATGCACCAGTAATGGTAGGCTTGAAAACTGGTGTTGCAGGCATCTTAAGAAAGGCAAATTCAGATTTGCAGGTTATGAGGTGCACCTGTCACCTCTTAAATTTAGCAGCTGAAAGGGGGCAGCTTCTTTACCAATAAATGTGGATGAACACATTGTTGATATTTATTATTATCTTGAAAGGAGTTCTAAAAGAAAGGAAAAATTGAAACAGTTCCAACAGCTGCATAATACTGAAATGAGAAAAATTTTGAAACGTGTGTACACGCTGGTTGTCTTTAAAGAAATGCTTATCTAGAATCCTCGATCAATGGAACCCACTTCTTGCATTTTTTAAAGAAGTAAATGCTTCGAGAGTTAAGATAAAAGGCTCTATTGAAAGTTATAAAGTACCTAAAGTAAATAAAGATGTAGTTACTACTTCCATTGTTAAAAATAGGTTTGAGAAAAATAAAGTAATTTCTGCATCATTCAGCAATTCAACTGGCAGTTCTCAAAATAATACTGCAAAATATAAGCATAAAGCTGATACAAATTTCTCTCAAAAAAAAAATTGCTCAACACACAAAACATTTTCCGATTACTGTAAGTTTATCTCGTGAAGAATGAATATTTATGTTTTTTTCTTCGGACCTTAACAAAGCCTTTTGCTTTTTTTACAATTCATTTTGCCATCATTCGATGTTCTTAACACAATTCTACAAAGCAGAATTCCATTAATTCATGTTTTGCAATCAGTGATTTATGATCTGTTTAAAGACATTTTATCAAAGTTTGTAAAACCAGTCTGTGTTTTGTCTTGCAATTCTATATATGATGTAATTTATGGTGAAATAGAAAATCAGAAGAAAGATGAAGATTTCGTAGTAGGAGCTGCAACTACAAAAGTAGTGGAAGAACTTTCAGAAGAAGACAAAAATAAGTTTTATCTTCATGTTAGAAGTTACTTCTGTCAAGTATGTGATTACATACTACATAAATTTCCAGTCAACGATGAAGTGATTTTGCATGCTAAAGTTTGTGATGTTTCTGCTCTAGCAAATGCATCTTTTTCTGATATAAGGTACTTTTTGAACAGATTTCCTGTGTTACTTCGTTTAGTCATGAAAGATGATGATATTGATGTTGCTATTGATATACTGCAGTTGCAATTTTACAGTTTACAATTAGAAAACTTTGATGAAGTTATAAAATCAGCTAGGATTGACACCCAGTGGAGTTTAATTGGAAAACTGAAAGGTGCTGGTTGAATTTTAAAATATAGTGAACTGTCTAGAATTATGTTGGCCATCTTGACAGTTCCCCATAGTAATGCGGAGTGTGAGAGGATTTTCAGTGTTGTTGCGAAAACGAGGACTAAATTTAGATCTAATATGAGTGATGACACATTAGAAAAACTGTTATTAGCGAAAGCAGGCCTATGTGGCAATTGCTATGAACAAAATTATAAAGTTTCTTTCTTAACGAAAGCAAAATCTGCCACTGTTCATAACATTTGTATGAAAACTGATTAAAGTGTCTTTTTTTTTTAAACGATGCAAGTAATAAAAATGTTTTTTTATGTCTAAGGTATTTTTGTATTGCTTGCATTTAAAACTTAGAAACTATTTAAAGTTAATTCATTATTAAAAACTATATTTTTATCATTTAAAAAGTCTTTTTAACATTGTGAAAAATCTCCTGATTTCTTAAAAAAAATCTCCTGATTTTTGAGTGTCATAGGTTGGCAAGTATGTAAAGATATGAATCCTTTGTATCAGCATTTAAATGAATCTTCTCAGACCCTTCAAAATGTTGGTTTCTTCAACGACTGCCTAATTAGCGTATGTTTGAACAGGAAAGAACATCATGACAGACACAAGACAGTTCATCATGATTGGCTGTAACTTTGCAACATGACAAGACAGGACATCATGATTGTCTGTAACTTTGTAACATGACAAGACAGGACATCATGATTGGCTGTAACTTTGTATTATATGATATTTGCATACTACCATCTGCAGCACAGCAATTTTTCACGGTTCAAATTCAACTCCAATTTTGAAATTTGTAATTTACCTTTCATACTTAGCTTTTGGAAGCCATTGTACACACACACACAGCAGTTGTAAAAATTAATTTTTAAGTAAATAGTCCTACAGTATTTATTCTCTAAAAAACCTAAAAGAATACCAATCAGTGAATTTTTTCATATAATGTTGTTATTTTGCTACTAAAGAATGTTTTCCTCAAAATTGTGAATTCTTATCTGCAGATAAGAATTAACCTGTTGGCATGATCAATTAAAGTTGCAGTTTCTGAAAATGATACTTCCTTGTTAAAGCAGTTCCTCATTTAAGGGCCAGAATAAGCAAACTTAATCTCCCATTCTGTAACATGCAAGTTTTAATTATCACCAAAATCTTGTATGGTTTTGCTATAATAAGAAAGTTCTGTTTTTTCTAGATCCTGTTCAACTACCCTCGTCAACAATATTTAGTCTGTGATAGGAAATAACATGTTAGCATTTAATCCTTTATTATAATTTTTAATACAAATTATTTATTATGTAGCAGTAATATATTTTCTTCTTCTCTGTTTTATATAGGTCTAGTCAGTCTGATGCAGGAACAGCATCTCACATAGGTACTTAATATAGTTTCAATGTTAATTTCATTTATAAGGTGGTAAAGTTTTTTTTTCCTTTAGTCCAAAGGGGCAGTTTGCCCAGAAGGACTACTAATTTCATTTTGTTATTTTGCGTTGATTCACTATAAACATTGTTTCACTTTTCAAATTGTTGCCACCAGATATTATTGCCCTGTATTATATTTAAAGAAATTAAATAATGTAGAATGTGCATAAATGTATGTTTATGTTTCTAGCATTGAGATAAAAGAACGGTACCCCGAGACATGAAATTTTGAATATGGGCATCTGGAAGCCCAAATTCGAAATTTGGAATTTGTTTTATTATCAATTTCATATTTTGTAAAACTTTAATTAATTTTTGATTAACTAAAGTCAAAGATTTCGAAGCGAGCAATGGCAATGTTGTACAGAAAAAAACACTTTTATCTCCAGCGTATGAGACTGTGTATCGGAAATTCTAAAGATGTGCTCCTTTTCAAATTATTTTGGGATATTACTCTTGAACTGAATTTTATGGTTTAAGTGCGAAGAGCATGATATTTAATAAATAAAGGTAACACTCAAAATGTTAAAAAATATGTTCCTTTGGACGTAATTAACAATCTGAAACATTTAAGTTTTTTCTTAAATTTTAATTTTAATTTTTTTAATGTTAACAATTATAAATAAAGTCAAGCAATCATTCAGATACTCCATTGTATTTTCTGATGTTTTGATGTTGAATCTCTATACGTGAAATAATTCCAAGAAAATATCAAGGAGCTGCTAAATTTCATACATACATTTCATTCATGAACTTTTGTCATGAGTGAAGAGCTTTGCACAGATTGAAGCATTATATAATATCATTTAATCTTGAATGTTCGTATGTAGGTATATACACTAACAGGAAATATTAAAGGTTACTGTTACATGCATTGAGATGCATGCAATCCATTACAAACCTTAACGCATGCATTCTTATTTTAGGAAAAGAATCACTTAACAGTTCTGGAACAACAAAAGTACTCATACAGCTCTTCTCAGTATTACAATCAGTAGATACACTTCAAACTGTAAGAACATTAAACACAGCACAATACAAAGCGCATTTAAAAGGTGAAGCTCTCACTTGTATCTCAGTACTCCATATTCAGTGTTGCACTAAATTCAAAAAGCGATATTCTTCTAGGTCTTAAATGGTTTTCCTCTGGCCATTATACAAAAAAACAAAAATACAATAATTTCACATATAATTTCATAAAAATTATATACATATGTATAAAATTTGTAACATAACCCCCTTCCCAAGGACTGCACATCTTGGGCAGTACAGTCTCCAGGAGCCATACTTACATCTAAGGCAAATCAATGTAATATTAAAGCAGTAATTTCAATAAACAGCATACAATAAATCAAATACCAAATTAAATGCACAAATGTTCGAATTTATGTAAAATAGGATTTTAGTATTATATTTTCATTATATACACTATGGGGTATATATTCTTAGTATTATATTTTCATTATATACACTATGGCTACTATGTACTGTGGTCATAGTAAAGGGATAGCGTATTGTAATGAACGACTTAAGGCAATTTAATGACTTATGGATCCAAACTACAATGTTTTTCAGCCTTCTTAGGACTGTGTAAGGACCTTACCAAGATGACTGTAGTTTAGGAGAGACTCCTTTCTGTTGAATCATGTTCTATAACCACACTTCATTTAAAATCATCAGTGAGAAGTTGTTAAGGATAGTTCAATTAAAACTCTCTATCATGCCGTCTGATTGCGGTTATAAGGCTGTCGTTTGAGGTTTCTCTCTGCCGAGTAGTTTGCAGAGCTCTTTAATTACAGCAGAGATAAAATTCCGTCCTGGATTGGAATGTAACTGAAGAAGCATTCCGAACCTGGAAATCCAATGCTGTATCATTACCTCTACTACTATGACAGCCTCTTGATCCAGGATAGGATATGCTTCAGGCCACTTTGTGAAGTAATAAATGACAATGAAGATGGATGTATTTGTTGCATTAGCAGTTAATGGCTAATGTTTCAGGATGTCAAAGGTGATGCTTTCAAAAGAGGCTCGTACAGCGTAACATTGCATCGTCTCTAAGCTGCGTTTCTTCATCCATTTCCAACCCACACAAGCATTGCATGATCAGTATAATTTTTGCATGTTAGCCTTGCGATTACTCCAATATAAGTGGTCTCAAACTTTATGTAAAGTTATCATTATTCCTAAGTACCCTTCTGTTGTCTGCTATGCAGTTCTGTAAGAACATCCGTGATCTTGGAAATATCGGCTGTTATCGGAATGCATCCCATTCAAACTTTTGGTGCAAGGTGCCATTTCAAGTGTAGAGTGAGTTCCAGAGAGCCCCAATAATGTTTTGCTTACGAAAGTATATCAGAATGTTCTAATAGGTAGGGTTTCCTATTTGAAGATTTAATTCAGTCAGTTATAGGCTTAATGGAGACATCTTCCAACTGGTCTTTCCTGACTTCATTGTCACTTCATCACCTTGATCAGCCGATGTTGAAGTTGTAACTTGACCTGCGATCGGGCTAATTAGCTTGTATTTAACCTCAGCCCTGAAACAATATTAGCAGCTTTCTGTGCAGGGTTTTCTAGAGAGGTTTTACTGTGTGATGATCCTTTCATATGATGGATAGTAATGTCATATTCCCAGAGTCTCTGTATCCATCTGGCTATTTGGACTTCTGGATTTTTGAAATTTAAGATCCAGATCAATGATGCTTGATCTGTATAGAGCAGTAATTTTCTGCTGTAGAAATAAAGGAAGAAATGCTCTATGGCTTTAACTATGGTGAGAAATTCTTTCCTAATGACACAGAAATGACTCTTAGGTTTCGATAGACACTTGTTCCAGTATGCTATGGCACATTCTTAACTGTTTATTTCCTGGGATAAAACAGCACCAACACTCTAATTAATAACATCTGTGTCAAGCATCGTGGTTTGTAAGGTTAACGATACCTCAAGATTGTTGCAAAAGTTCAAGGATCCTTCAGTTTATGAAATGCATCCTTATATTCTTTTGTGCACAAAAACTTTTGCTTGCTCTGTGTCAGATTGTGAAGGAGGCTTGCAACTGAAGAAAAATCTTTCATATATTTCCTATAGTAGGTGCAAAGGACCGGGGAAACTTCTCAGCTGATGGACATTTTGAGGGTGTCTGCAATCTTTAACTGCTGACAGTTTTTTGGGATCTGTCCACATGTCTGAGTGAAGTCACTCCCTGTCAATTTACATTTGGCAGGACTTAATTTTAGATTAGTTCCATTCAGTATTTTATGCACCTTCCCATTGCTTTCTAAACTGATGTTACAAAACTTTTCCTAACAGTGATTTAACTCATCTAGGTTTATCAAACATACTTCATAGGAAAGCCTTCTCAGCACAATCTCCGTGATGTGTTCAGATGCTGGCAGATATTGTATAATCCAAACAGGATCACCTTGAACTGCCCGAGCTCTTGTCTGGTAGTAAATGCTGTCCTTTCTCTGTCATTAGGGTATATCTCCCCCTGCCTATACCTACTGTGTAAATCAAGCATAAAAACAATTTGCTTCCAGAGAGAGTGTCCAGACTGACTTCTAAGAACAGGGTTGCTGTCTTTCTTCATGACATCATTCAGCCAGCAATAGTCTACACAAAATCTAGTTGAACCATCTTTCTTTCCGACCAGCATGATGGGAGAAGTCCAAGTATTTGCTGAAGGCTCAATAACATCACTTTCTTGCCTGTTATCTGGAAGTTTTTCTACCTTTTATTGTTAAGCAATCAGTAGACATCTTGAATGTTGCTCGACTGTTGATGATCCCCCATATCAATTCTTTGCTGCGCCACACTGGTTCTACCTGCATCAGGAGCTGTATTGGAGAAAACATCTTCAAATTCTTAAATGGCATGTTCTGCAGCACTCCTTTCTTCATCGCTTAATTGTTGATTCTGTAACAATTTCGATCTTAGAGTCTCGGAAGACTACTGATTAGTTTAATGCTGGCAGGTGGAGCAAATGCTGCAATTACCTTTTTTAATGGCTTTCACCTTTTTTCTTACTTTGGCATCTGTAGCGAAGTGCTCGTCTTTGATAGTTTGACAAATACTACTAAGTCACAGTTTAAAGTTTTCACAGGCAGAATGGTATTTTTTTTGGGGGGGGAGTCCTAAGAAAGATTGTTTTTTATTAGAAAATCTAATTTAAGTATGCAGGGGTTTGCCGCATATGTTGTGTGATAAAAGTCAGCACTTCCAAATGTGATATTAATGTTTAATTTTCCATCAATGTCAGTTTTATTGGACACAGTGTTGAGGGTAATACAGGTTGGCTTTCAGATGAGTTTCCCTTCAATTGTTGAGCTAGATCTTTTCGAGTGATGGGAACATTGGCTTTTGTAATGGTTGGTCATATTGCAAGGAATTCCATTTATATGTCCCATGATGAAACCATTACTGCCACTCATTGCAAAGATCTGAAGTGCTTTAAAATGGCACTTCTAAATATCTGGCAATCTCTGCCTTTCAAGATGACTACTAATTAGTTTTCTTCATGGGAGGGCGATCTTTGCTCCCATGTAATGTGATAATTCTGCAGTTCCTTTATATATGACCTTCATCAGCACAGTTCCTACAGGTTAGGATTTTTTTTAACTCGTATTGCAAGGAATTCCGTGTATATGTCCCATAATGGAGAAAACCCATTACTATCACCACTCCTTATAGAAATCTGAAGTCCTTAAAAATAGGGCTTCTCAATGTCTGGCAACCTCTGCTTCACTAATTAGTTTTCCTCCTCTTTATTGGGAGCTGTGTTAGCTTTTTATAGCATGGGGCATTCCACAATTTTTTATATGTGGCCTTCACTGTTGTAAAACATTTTTGTAGCCTCGAAATTTTACAGCAAATTAATAAAAGTAGAGAGAAAAACGATTCCTCTTACCTTGTATCCAGTGCAGAATCAAGTGAGATCATGGCTAAT